GACTACAGGTATGTGCCACCATGCCCAACTAATTTATATATATATATATATAGTTGCCCAGCTAATTTCCTTCTATTTTTAGTAGAGACGGGGTCTCGCTCTTGCTTAGGCTGGTCTTGAACTCCTGAGCTCAAATGATCCACCCACTTCAGCCTCCCAGAATGCTAGTATTACAGGCATGAGCCACCGTGCCCGGCCCTCAATAATTCTTTTAACTGCTGAATAGTTTTCTACTGTGGGAATATAGCACAATTTATTTATTCAGCTATTAAAGGATATTTGGGTTGTTTGTAGTTTTCACTATTAAAAATAAAGCTGCTATGAACATGGACAGGCAAGTCTTTGTGTGAATATATGCTTTTGTTTCCCTTGGGCAAATACCTAGAAAGGGAGTGACTGGGTTTTATCGTAATTACATGTAAACTGTGCCTGTTCCAGTTACCAATTTATTGCCTTTCAGCTCCCAGTCTACCTTTTTCTTTTTTTTTTTTTTTTGAGACCCAGTGCCAGTCCACTCTTGATTGCCTACTCTATGATAATGCAGCTGGGCCCTTTAAACATTACTCCTTTGGTGGCTGGTGCAATGCTGGCTTTGTCAATAGAGGGCACTGGAGGGACACACTTATTCCTGAGAATCTATCTAAACTGTCACTATGGCCCACCAGTGACTACCTGACAAATGGAATTTTAGGAGTTTTATCTCATCTGACTCACAGTGGGCCCAGTATTTCCATGGGCCCATCCCAGTGTTATTTTTTGAGTTCCTGAATATATAATTGGTGTAGGTATATTTGACAACTAGCAGAGGTAGACACCTTGACTCTGGCCCATGACGTAAGGACCATAGCGGGAGGATTGCTTGAACCCAGCAGTTTGAGAGTTTGAGGTTGAATGAGACCTTGTCTCAAAAAACAAACAAACCAACAACAACAAAAAAAAACTCTGACAAACAGAGACAGGAAAGGCCATGAGAAGGGTTCTGGTGCATAAATGCCTGATAACAAGAACTATTATGAAATGAAAGACTCTACAAAAACCACAGCCTTGCACAAAGGCCAGCATAAACTTACACTTCTGTCCTGCAATTGCCTGTCCAGGCTCAGCCTAGCATTACCCTTGTGATGGATCCTTAAAAACACATATGTAATCCTCCTCATTTTCCCTTTAGAAATCTTCACCTTCTTTTTTTTTTTCTTTTCAAGAGATGGAGTCCCCTGTGTCCTGTGAATATATGCATAATTTACAATGGTGTGCATATGTATTCCCTTTGCAATACCCTATTTCTGGAAAAATATATTTTTTAAAATAAATATTCTCTGTCATTTAGGTTGACAGTTACACATATTGCAGTTGTCTCCTCCTACTCTGTGGCCTGACTTCTTTACTTTGTTTATGGTGTATATATATATGAATAGACATCTTAATTTAAAAATACATATTAATATATATTAATAAATATATCATTTTCCAGCTGGGCACGGTGGCTCATGCCTGTAATCCTAGCACTCTGAGAGGCTGAGGCAGGCGGATCGCTCGATGTCAGGAGTTCAAGACCAGACTGAGCAAGAGTGAGACCCCATCTCTACTAAAAATAGAAAGAAATTGGCCAGCTAAAAATATATAGAAAAAATTAGCCGAGCATAGTGGTGCATGCCTGTAGTCCCAGCTACTTGGGAGGCTGAGGCAGAAGGATCACTTGAGCCCAGGAGTTCAAAGTTGCTGTGAGTTAGGCTGATGCCACGGCACTCTAGCCTGGGCAACAGAGTGAGACTCTGTCTCAAAGTAAATAAATAAGTAGGCCAGGCGCGGTGGCTCACGCCTGTAATCCTAGCACTCTGGGAGGTCGAGGCAGGCGGATTGTTCGAGGTCAGGAGTTTGAAACCAGCCTGAGCAAGAGCGAGACTCCGTCTCTACTATAAATACAAAGAAATTAATTGGCCAACTAATACATATATAGAAAAAATTAGCCAGGCATGGTGGCATATGCCTGTAGTCCCAGCTACTTGGGAGGCTAAGGCAGGAGGGTTGCTTGAGCCCAGGAGTTTGAGGTTGCTGTGAGCTAGGCTGACGCCACGACACTCACTCTAGCCTGGGCAACAAAGTGAGACTCTGTCTCAAAAAAAAAAAAAAAAAGTAAATAAAGAAATCATTTCCCTTTATAATAGCATTTTAGCATTTTTTGTGATCTGTTTGAATTTTGCAAACTTTCTCAAGTTTGTATTTTTATTTATTTATTTATTTTTAGAGACAGGATCCTGCTCTGTTGCCCAGGCTAGAGTGCAGTGGCACAATCACAGTTCACAGCAGCCTCAATCCTCCTGCCTCAGCCTCCCAAGTAGCTGGGAATATAGGGGTACACCACCACGCCTGGCTGATTTTTAAAACTTTTTTTTTTTTTTTTTTTTTTTTGAGACAGAGTCTCGCTTTGTTGTCCAGGCTAGAGTGAGTGCTGTGGCGTCAGCCTAGCTCACAGCAACCTCAAACTCCTGGGCTCGAGTGATCCTTCTGCCTCAGCTCCCAAGTAGCTGGGACTACAGGCATGTGCCACCATGCCGGCTATTTTTTATTATATATATATCAGTGGCCAATTGATTTCTTTCTATTATAGTAGGAGCAGGGTCTCGCTCTTGCTCAGGCTGGTTTTGAACTCCTGACCTTGAGCAATCCGCCCTCCTCGGCCTCCCAAGAGCTAGGATTACAGGCGTGAGCCACAGCGCCCGGCCATGATTTTTAAAACTTTTGTAGAGATGTGATCTCTCTATGTTGCCCAGTCTGGTCTCAAACTCGTGGCTTCAAGTGATCCTCCCACCTTGGCCTCCCAAAGCATTGGGATCACAGGCATGAGCCACCCTACCCAGCCTTATAAAAAGCATTTCTTGTTTTCATCATTTAAAACATGAAACACGGCCGGGCGCGGTGGCTCACGCTTGTAATCCTAGCACTCTGGAGGCCGGAGGCGGGGGATTGCTCAAGGTCAGGAGTTCAAAACCAGCCTGGCGAGACCCGTCTCTACTATAAAAAAATAGAAAGAACTATTGGCCAACTAATATATATATATAAAATTAGCCGGGCATGGTGGCTCGTGCCTGTAGTCCCAGCTACTTGGGAGGCTGAGACAGGAGGATCGCTTGAGCCCAGGAGTTTGAGGTTGCTGTGAGCTAGGCTGATGCCACGGCACTCACTCTAGCCTAGGCAAGAAAGCTAGACTCTGTCTCAAAAAAAAAAAATAAAATAATAAATAAAATATGAAACACTAGTAGAAGCAGTCCACCATAGCCTCATAGTTCTTGTTATAGTGTGCACAATTTCTGTTATAAAAAAGTCAAGTTGGCCGGGCGCTGTGGCTCACGCCTGTAATCCTAGCTCTTGGGAGGCCGAGGCGGGCGGATTGCTCAAGGTCAGGAGTTCAAAACCAGCCTGAGCAAGAGCGAGACCCCGTCTCTACTATAAATAGAAAGAAATTAATTGGCAACTGATATATATATATAAAAATTAGCCGGGCATGGTGGCGCATTCCTGTAGTCCCAGCTACTCGGGAGGCTGAGGCAGGAGGATCGCTTGAGCCCAGGAGTTTGAGGTTGCTGTGAGCTAGGCTGACGCCACGGCACTCACTCTAGCCTGGACAACAAAGTGAGACTCTGTCTCAAAAAAAAAAGTGAAGTCTCCCACTGTCTACCCCTCTGGCCCTGCCTGGCCTAGGAAAGAACTGCCCACTCGTGGTCCCATGACAAGTGCCCCTGCATAGTCTGGAGATAATGGGCTAGGTATGGAAGACCAATTCTAACCATAAAGCCACCAAGAATAAACTTCTGAAGTCAGAAGCTGAAAATAGGCTGGGCACAGTGGCTCACACCGGTAATCCTAGCACTCTGGGAGGTTGAGGCGGGAGGATCGCTCGAGGTCAGGAGTTCAAAACCAGCCTGAGCAAGAGCAAGACCCCGTCTCTACTCAAAATAGAAAGAAATTAATTGGCCAACTAAAAATATATAGAAACATTAGCCGGACGTGGTGGTGCATGCCTGTAGTCCCAGCTACTCAGGAGGCTGAGGCAGAAGAATTGCTTGAGCGCAAGAGTTTGAGGCTGCTATGAGCTAGGCTGACGCCATGGCACTCTATTAGCCTGGCATGGTTGCACATGCCTGTAGTCCCAGCTACTAAGGAGGCTGAGGCAGAAGGATTGCTTAAGCCCAGGAGTTTGATGCTGTGAGCTAGGCTAATGCCATGGCACTCTAGCCTAGGCAACAGAGCGAGACTCTGTCTTCAAAAAGAAAAAAAGAAGCTGAAAATACTTACAGGAAAGAAATCACTGCTTAGACAAGCCAATAGGGGGATATAAAAAGCTGGGGAAACTTTCTAAAAGCAGTCTAGACAGCTATTGTGCACAAGGACCCCACGGGCAGTCTTCTCAGTCTCCTGCAGGCCATGACGGCAAGGGCTTCTGGGACTCACACCTCACAAGGTCCATCTCTCACAACATTTAAGTTGAAGGGTCAAATGGATGCTGCCTCGTTACTGCTTCTCAGATGAAGGCATGTGGTTCCTTCATCAATTCTTCTCCTTTCCAGAATGAAGGTAAGAGCCAGGCGTGGTGGCTCATGCCTGTAATCATGTGATCAACACCAAAGGCACCTGCTCCACACACAGCTGTGGTCACCCACACCTTTCCTCACTCCTTTCCACTCCTGGCCATTGGCTGGCCTGTGAACCATAGCTAAGGTCAGTCTCTGATCTCAACACCCAGTGAATGACCAATAATCTTTGGCTGAGTGTGTGAGAGGACGTGCTCCCCACTCTATGGGTCTCCTTTGTACCTAGACAGGCACTTCTAGCACCAACACTGCTCGGTACATGCTGACCAAGTCCCAGATGCTGACCCACCACAGACTTGACCATGCCCCAGCTCCCACCTTCCACATGCGACTAGCTACCTGCAGGTTTAGGCCATTGGCCAGACCTCCCTGCCCACCCCAGGGCACTCCAGGAGAGAAAATGGCCTCGAGCTTGCTGAAGCCTCTTGACTTTATTCCAGACCAGGCCTTGGCCAAAGGCCAATGGCAGACCTAAGCAGGCTGCCACTCGCCAACTTGGGGTGAAGGGAAGGTGGAGTGAAGGGTGCGGGGGTGGAGGGCATGGCCACCAGCCAGCTCAGCTGTAGCTGTTAGGGTCTGTGTCATCTAGCACAAAGTAGCGCTGCAGGGCAGGCTGTAGGAGCAGCGGGGGCTGGGAGTGGGCAGGCCTGGGCCAGCCTGGGGGGAAAGGCCGCACCTCCACTCGTGGCAGCGGCAGCTTCAACATCCGGATGGGGCCATCCAGGGTGCGGCCAGCACGGGATGGCATCTGGCCTGGGGCAAGTGATGAAGTGAGGTGGTGGGTAGGGGTGGGGCCAGGTCTGTCTCCGCCCCCATCTCCACTCACCCCTCAATCTCCTCCCACATTTCTGAATGGTGGCCTCCTGAAGCCTCATGATGGGGTGGTGCCTGGGGGTAAGGAGGCAGGTTCAGCCAGGCCTGGCCATTTGGCCCTCGCTGCCCACATCCATGCCCATGCCCGCACCCAGCGCACCAATGATCCCGAGCTGGTGGCACCACCGTGTTGGGCACCATCAGGGGTGGGAGTTCAGCCTCTGGGATCAAGCTATGCTGCCGTGCCCGCTGCTGCTTGCAGAATAAGTTGAGCATGTCGATGAGGCCTAGGTCCAATATTTGCGACTTTGACCAGTCTGTCTTCTCGAGTGGCGGCAGCACCTCAGGCAGCGTGGAGGGCGCTGAGGAGTACAGGTCGGTCTCAGGGAAGCTCTGCAGTGTGTCTGCGAGCACACGTTGGGTGTGCTGGATGTTCATCTGCATCAGCAGCTGCTCGGTCTGGAGCTTTAGGCCAGCCAGGTCTGGCTGCGCAGGTGAGACCACCATCAGGGGCATCTCCAAGCTCTGCAAGAGCCTCTTGGACATGCTTGAGGTCGACCAGGAGGTGCCCAAGGATGTCATCGAAGCCATCGAAGCCCGTGATGTGGTCTTCTTGGGAGAGGAAAGCTTCAAGGTACTATCTGAGACCTTGGGCAGCACCACAGACAAGTGGGCTACGGATGGTGGCTGCAAGGTCTCCACCTGTGGGGAGGAAGTGCCCTTGCTCCTGGAGCCCCTGCACAGACACCAAGACTCCCTTCGGCCTGAGCCCCAGCCCAGGGGAGAGGCTCCCCCTCCTCTGACAAAGAGACCAGAGATTCATCAGGCAGGATGACTCCAGGTCCAGAGCTGGGTGAGGCACAGAGCCTGCTGGCCTCACCTGGCTCTCCCCCAGGACTTCAGGAAAGCCTCGGAGAAGGCAAGAGTTTCCCGCAGGTAGCCCACCCAGCCCTGCCGGCCAGACCTGCAGCTGCTGGATAAGCTCCTCTAGCTTCTCACAGCAGCGTCTACGCAGCATAGCCTTGGAGTTGAGATCAGAGTCCTTCACCCAGGTCAGCATCTCCTTGAACAGGAAGCCTTCTGGATCCTGAAGGCCCAGCATGTCCAGCAGCTTCCTGAGCTCTGGCCTAGGACACACACATGTGGCTTACTCAGAGGCCTCCCAGCTGGTGAGGGGGACGCAGCGGGAGCGACACTCACTGGCAGGAGGCTGGGGAGTAGAGGAAGTAGGACATAAGCTCCAGCACCACATCTCGGGACTCCAGGGAGCAGGCCAGGAGCAGCTGCAGCGCCAGCATCACGAATAGCCTCTGAGTCTCATCCTGAGCACAGATAAGGAAAGCATGCTTGGTGGGTGTTGTGGAAGGGGGGCCAGGGGTGGGTCAAGGGGTGTACCTGGAGGCTGGGAGGCTGGTCCATGTTGAGCAACTGCACAAGCACATTTTGCAGCTGGATTTGGAGGATGCTGCTCATGTCAGGAAGCAGCCTCAGCAGTGCACGCAGGATGTGCACACGGTCCATCCATGTGACCTCCTTCAGCAGGTCCATAAGCGTTAAGGCCAGGCCTGTCACTGTGCCCATCTCCGGGTATGCCTGCGGGGTGGGCATGCCGAGGCCCTGGCTCCCACTCCACACGAGGTGTGCCCCTGCCCCAACCCTAGCCTATGCTTCCCAGTCAGCCCCAAACCTCCAGGGTGAAGATGGGGAACAGCTTTTTGAACCAGTTCTGGCAGACCAAAAACTGCAGGAACTTGGGCAGATGTCCAAAACGCTCTTCCCAGAGCGAACGCCTGTAGTCGTGCTTGGGGTGAAGGGAGGGCTTGGTCTTGGCGGCCTCATAGAAGGGCTGCAGGGTCAAGTCCGAAGAGGTCTAGAAGGAGTGGGGGCCACTGTAGTCCCTGCCTCTCTGAATTTCAGAGCCGAGCCCCACCTCGAGGTGGCCTGGGGGTGGACCTGTACCTCTACCTCACCCGGTTGGAAAAAATCCAGCTCCTGGTCAGCCTGTGACGTCTCAGGGCTCAAGAAAGCCTCCCAGTCAGCCTCTAGGTCCAGCTCCTCCTCCCACTCCTCTTCCTCATCTTCCTCCTCTCCTAACCACTGGGTGACATTCCTTGGCCACGGGGTGCGGAACCGCCTGCTGCGCCGCCGATGCAGCCACATGTCGTACTGGCTCACACGCGGCTGCAGAAGGGAGAGTGCAAGATGTGGCATCTGGTGGGCTGGGGAGAGAGGAGCCCTCCTGAGCCCTGCCACCCAGCCCAGCCCTCTTGCCTTGCATTTCGTCTGGGAGGGAAGCTGGGCCAGGGACCCCAGGTGGCCGATCTCTGCAGGCAGCCACATCTGCTGTAGTACCACAGAGTTGGGTACGCAGCCAGGGAAGCTGATGGGATTCGGGCAGGGCTGGAGGTAGAGCACACCAGGGGTTGAGAGCCTGAATTCCCCCAGTCCAAACACTGGAGTCACCTCCACAACCAGCTGCCGTGCCCACCAGGCCTGCAAGAGCTAGACTGGGTGAGCAGTCTCTGCTTTCCACACACAGATGAGCAGGGAGAGCCTTGAGACACCAGGGGGCAGGGTGGTCAGTGAGGATCAGCTGTCCCAGGGAGCCTGGCATGCCCATGTGTTCCCCACAGCACTCAGACCCCAGCCCTGAAGCAGGGACATATATAAGAAGCATGGGAGGGGACAGGATAAGAAGGAAGGAGCTTGGCAAAGGGGGGCTTGATGGTGCTGCCCAAGCCAGAAGGGTCCAGGGCCCACCTTAGTGGGTGACGGTGCCAGACTTATGCTGGGGCATGGCCTGAAGCCTGCCTGGGCATCTGGTGTGGGAAAGGGTAGGAAGATAGTCAGCTCCCCTATATTTTGGTCCCCTAAAAAACAGGGACCCTGGTCTTCCAGGAGAAGCTCAAAGGGGCCCTACCCACCCTACCCAGCACTTCTACTGAGGAGTGGGCTGTGCAGGCACAAGCAGCCAGCAGAGGCTCTGGCTTTGCCTGCTGTCTGCTCTGGGAGCCCTGGAGCCCTGGCTTAGGCCAGGCTCAGGCCTGGGAGGCATTCAGCTCCCAGAGCAGTAGGGAGCCCCTGTATACCTAAACTGGGCCTGGCAGGGGTGAAGGGTAGGGAGGGGAGGGCTAAAGCTGGCCTTCTGGGCTGCAGGTGGGTATGGCGCCCAAGTCAGATTCTGACACAGAGGTTTGCAAGGAAAAGGGAGATGGGGTACACAATAAGTAGGACTCCTGAAGTGGGGTGCCTCTGGGGGAGTGGGGAGGGGTATCACCTTATAAGGCCGTGTGGTGGCAGGAAAGAAGCCCCCAAGTTTAGAGGGAGGATCCGTGGGCCGTCTCTTCTGCAGCAGAGGGATCTGGGGATGGGACAGGGGTTTCAGAGCAGAGCACAGCTCCCAGCACCCCTCCAGCTCTGCCACCTGCCTAAGTCCCTCTCACCCTGTGCTCCAGGTGGGAGAACGATGGATCCAGAGCCATGGTTGTCGTCTCTTGGAGCTGCTCCCACTGCAGCTGCAGATCCAGACTGAGACCCAGGTCGTGGCTCAGGGAGGAGTGGGCCAGAAGCTAGGGTGTAGGAGGAGTCACCAGGTCCTGAGGTCAGGGTGGGGCTGGACTTGAGGTCAGGGTAGGGGCAGAGGTAGGACCTGAGGCCAGGGCATGGGTGGGGAGGGGCCTGAGATAGGATGAGGGGGAGGGGCAGGGGCTCACCTGGGATGCCCTGCTATGCACCCTTCGGTAGGTGGGTGGGATGGGCAAGGTGACTCGAGGAGGGCGGGCAAAGCGCTGGCCCAGGGCCCTGACGTCCTGAGGGGGCAGGGCTGTTGGTGCTGTCTGGGTTTCAGTGCTGACCCCAGCCTGCCAGAGATAGGGGCCAGCTCTGGGCAGGTCACACATGTCCCAGATCTCTCTCTCCACTGTGAAGGTCCCAGTGTCCCACTGCCAGGACTCCCTTCCAGACTGCACACCCTAGGAGGGGTAGGACCAGATGCTGTGTCAGAGGCCTGGGGGGTAGGGGAAGGGGCCAGGGTCAGGGCTGGGCTGGGAGAGGCCCCACACCCACCAGCAGGCCAGAACCATAGATCAGGCGCAGGTAATTGTCGAAGGCTTCCTGGCGATGCTGCCAGGAGGGTGTGGGGCGGGCTGCTGGGACCACTAGTCCCAGCCTTAGCTGCTCAAGGTCTTGATCCCGGTCCACTAGGGTTTTCAAGTCCTAAGATAGTGGTCAGAGGTTAACTCATTCTTCTGAGCCTTGGGACATGCTGCCCAGGCAACCATGAGAATCCCAGCCCTAAGCCTGGGCAGGGGATAGGGCCAAGGAGAACCTACCCACCTCCTTCACCACTGGCTGCTGAGTTGGTGCCTTCTCATGAATGAAGGACAAGGAAGCACTGCGGATGGGGACAGGCACAGGTGGGACACTGAGTGGCATATCAATGGGTTGGGGCAGTGGCTGGGATAAGGACTAGCCAGGAATAAGGATGCTAGGGCTGGGATGGGGCCTCATGGTGGGGCACGCAGCCAGGTGCTGGTCCAGCAGGGCTGGGTGGGGGCCTCCCGATGGCCGAGTGGGCCTGCCATTAGACCTGAGCTTGGCTGCCCAGTGTAGGTTGGCAAGCCTCTGCAGATGGGCGGAGGTCAGTAACTCTTGGCTGGTCAGTGGCAGTGGAGGGTCGTCCACCATGTCAGGAGCCTTCCAGCACAGATTCTGGGCAGGGGAAAGGAGCCTGGGTCCCTGGCCTAGGGAGCCAAGTTTGCCTGCAGCAGCCCCACCTCATCCACCGTGTCCTCACTGCGCACCTTAACCAGGTAGGATGTGGGTAGGTAGAGCCTATGGGATACCAGGCAGAGACGGGAGCCCAGCGCCATCACCAGGTCCCCACTGTTGCTGCAGAAGGCCAAGGCCTGAGGGGCACCATTCAGCTGCAGGAGCCTGGAGGGGTACCCGGGGCTAGAGTCCAGCCACTGTTCCACAGAGGGAAACAGGCGGGGGCAAGGCCCTCTCTCCCCTCCAGCCACTGGGGCTGGTTAGGGGCACAGATACAAGAGCCCAGTCAGCTGCCCCTCAGCCCAGCCCTCCCTTGGGCCCCAGCCCACCGCAGCAGGCGGTTCTCAGCAGTCCAGATGCGGATGGTGCAGTCCAGGCTGGAGCAGGCATACAGCCTGAGGGAGGGGCAGCAGCACAGGCCTGGGGATGGGGCTCAGTGTTAGGGGGCAGAGCAGCTTGCTGTCCTGCTGGCCTAGACTCCACCTTGGCTCTGCCCCTCACCAGTTATGTGGTCCATGGGGTCGTCCTGGGGCCGGTGGTCAAATCGCCGGCTGTCACCCAGGTCAAACTGCACCAGGCCATAGGTAGCACTGTCTGGGTTCTCAAAGCCTACAGTGACACGTTTGCCTAACACACAGAGTGTCACGATTGGGTGGGAGCAAGAGAAGGTGCGCAGCAAGCTCAGGCTCTCCTCGGCGTATGGGAAGACGCGCCACATCTTCACGGTCAGGTCTCCGCCTGCAGGCAGCAGGAGCCAGGGCTGGGCCTTGGGGGTGGGAAGGGTCTCCCAGGCCGGCCACGTGGGTAGGAGAGGTACTGACCTGAAGACACAATGCTGTTCCAGGTGGATGCAATAGCGGTGACCGGGCCTGGACTGTGCGCCTCTGTATGGAAGACAGTATTCGATGAGACCCACTCGAGCACCGACAACGCGCCGTCTGTGTGTCCAACCACGGGTAGGTACCTGTGGGCAGCGATGGAGCCTGTTGGTGCCGGCCCTTTCGCCACGTCCGCCTGGCCGGTCCTCACCAGCTCCAGCACCCACCGATTTTTGTCCTTCCAGGCCCAGGGCATGGTGCTGTGGTGCATTTCGCCCCTGTGCTGGCGCACGATTTCCCAGGAGGTGAATGCGCTGCGGGGGTCTGCGAGGTGGCTGTACAGGTGCAGGCAACAGGGCTGAGGCGCCGGGGGCGCCAGAGGACGCACACGGTACAGCACAAGCATGGGGCGGCACGCCGCATTGGCGCGCACCAAGTGCCCCGCACGCGTCAGCAGCCACAGCGCCTCGCGCGGCAGGCAGTAAGCCACTGCAGCGGCGCAGTCACTGGGTTCCAGCAGCAGCGCGCTCACAGTGCGTCCGGTCACAGCCGACAGCAGGTAGACCGAACCGTCAGCACAGGCGCACACGAGGCGCGTGGGCAGCGGCGGGTATGCCGGCGCTGGGTAAGCAGGCGCCGGCAACGGGGGCGCAACCTGCAGAAGGAGCACTGGTGCCGGCAGCTGCACCAGCGGCGAATAGAGCTCGCGCACGCGCCAGAGCTCCACGCTGCTGGTGCAGAGTGAGAGCACCGGCTGACCCGGGCCCATGGGCGCCAGCAGATGTCTCACGCGCCCAGACAACGCGTCCTGGCCCCAGGAGCACAGCGCCACTTCGCCCACCTGTGCTGCTGCCCGCAAGTCCCATGTGCGTAGCGTCCCGTCATGCGAGGCTGACAACACCAAGGTCGAGTTCAGGAGCACGGCCAGAGCCGTCACTGGGCCTGTGGGAGGGGCGCGGGTCACTCCAGAGCACTAGGGAGAGGGAAGGGGAGGTGTCAGCCCAGGTTGCAGCCAGCGCAGAGGCCTGGCCAGAGCCAGTGAAGATACTGGATGGCCCAGAGCTGTTTAAGGCAGAGGATCGAGCTTGGGGTGGATAGAGAATGCACTTTAAGACCTGCCCTGGTGCGGCGCACCTGTGTGGCCCACGAACACCATCCGGATCTGCCAGTCAGCCTCCCACACCTTCACTGTGCTGTCCAGGGAAGCCGTCACTATGGCCTCTACCTCCTTGCAGTAAGCCAGGTCCGAGATGGTGCTGTAGGTGGGGAATGGGAGGGGATGGCCAGCAGACTTAGCACAGCCTTGTACATGGGCGGCTTGTGCCCCTGCCTGTGACCAGCTCTCGCTAGTAGACCTCCCCTCACGTTTTGTGCAGATCCCTGCGCACATCCACGAGAGCCCAGGCCTGCAGATCGAAAGTGACCACGGCGGAGCCGTAGGCTGCAAAGCAGCGCAGGGCCTCATGGGGAGGTGCTGGTTCCAGAGCCAGACGCTTGAGCTCGCCCACTGGGCTTGGTGGCGGCTGCAGTGGTGGTGATCCATGGAGCACCAGGCGACGACCACCTAAGCGGAATTTCCAGAGCACCAGGCTGCCACCCATCTGGGCCACGAGCAGCAGCCCTCGGTCGGGCACTGGCAGGCAGCAGGTGGGTTCGCATCCTGGTGCCCAGCCCACCCCCGGCTGGCTTAGCCACAGCAAGTTGAAGTTGGGCCCTAGGATGGCCAGCCCCGCGGGGCCCCAGCCTACAAAGCGTCCCACAGTGCCCAGCGGGCCCAGCACGGCCACCAGCCCAGTAAGTGCCACTGGCTCTGGCAGCTTCTCTTGTGCCCAACCATCTTCTCTGTGCAGGTGCAGGACGCCCGCGCCGTCCAGCACCACGAAACGTCCGCCCACTGGGTCCTGCGCCACGGAGCGCAGCCCGGCTGCCACCTCCAGGCGGCGCAGCGGCTCCAGCCCGTGCGTCAAGCGCGCGACTCGCAGCTCGGCTCTCTTCTCCTGCGTTGGGACAGGCACACCCGCAGGTAAGGGTTGGGATGAGGGTTATCAGGGTGGAGTTGGTGCTGGGAACCCCTGGGGGAAAGGCCAGATCTGGAGAGGCTTCAGGAAGATGCCCAGGGCGAGCCGCACCTTTTCCACTATGTCGTGGAGGCCTGCCCTCAGAAGCAGCCACAGCTGGCGGGCATGGGCCCTCGGGGTCTTGGTTTGCCACCACTGGCTGTTGGTAAACAGCGGAAGGGGCGGTGACGACTCCGTGAAAGACAACTCTGTGAGCAGGAGTTAGAAACGGTCACCCATGGCCTAGGGCCCCCAACCCTGCAAATTGGGGCAGCTGGAAACACACTTCCGAGAGCTCTTTCTGGTCGGGGACTGCCCAGGGGAGTTCATTCCCTGGATTGGAACCTGAGCCCACAGTCTGCTCCCTGGCGGCACCTGGGGGAGGAGGCCAAGCCCCTCACCATTCTTTTCTGCGAGCAGCCCAGGGTCTGGGAAGTCAAAGTTGTCTGCGTCATACAGGTATGGGTCCAGAATCGGATTGTTGCCTTCTGAAAAGCTGCTTGCATCCAACACTTTTGCCTCCATTTCAGCGACTGTGGGTCCTGGCACTCAACAGCTTCTCGGACCCAGCGGAAGCAGTGGCTGTTGCTAGGATACCAGACGCCGTCGGCCACACCCATGACGCAGGCCCCACCCCCAAGCCACATTCAGGTCCACACTAAATCACAGAAACTTTTATTGGAAACGAATGAGCTGCAGCAAACTGACACTCAGTGCACGCGGTCAAATGGGCGAGGTGAGGGGGATACAGGTGGGCGCCAGGAGCCAGCCCAAGACCAGAGCCGATGACCGCTGGGGCCTGATTGCGGGCCTCAGGCCATTTGCCCTTTGGGCTGGAGTGTGCAGGCCCAGTACAAAATACAAAAATAAACTCTGTGGTCCAGCTGTCCCTGCCTGTGGCAGTTCATTTGGGCAGGCAGGCAGTCACTCTTCCCACCAGGCCCCGTGCTGTCTATCTAGTCCAGCCACAGCATGGGCAGCAGCCTGTGGGGGTGAGTGGACATCCATAGGCTGGAGCCAAACAGCCAGGCCGGTGTGGCCTTGGACAGCGCTGAGACTGTGGCAGCGCCAGGGTCTGGCCAGCAGCTGGGGAGGACCTGGGGCCTCTCAGGTGAGCAGGTCCAGGCATTGGTTGAAGCTGGATGAAGCTGGGGTCTCTTCTCATCACATACACATCACTGGGACCCTGGGCAAGGGTTGGCATACAGCAGGCCTTGAGGAGCTACCACTGAGACCAGATAGAGGGCCCTCCACCCTGTCACACCCACTCCAGGTTCTAAGGACCCAGTCACAGCCGCCATCACACACCTGTCCTCCTTGGTGCTGGTGTCCTCGGCCCCGCCCTCACTGCCTCCGCCTTCTTCCTCCACTTCCTCCCCCAATTCCATGTCCAGCTCATTGCCTGCCTCTGAGGGTGTGTAGGTGGAGCCACTGGGGAAGGAGGGGAAACCAGTCTTAGGACCGCCTACCCAAGGCCTGCCTAGCTCCAGGGAGGATGTCCAGGGAAAATAAAGTCATGAGCAGGTGGGCATAGCTAGGGAAATTGTGTGGGCCTAACAGGGAGCTGGGGGAAGGGAGGCAGATGGTGCCCACCTGATGGAACGACAGCTGAAGAAGACAATTCGTTTGAGGCGCTTGTTGTAGAAAAAGTAGTTGAAGGACCAAAGGCTTCCATCCTCCCCAAAGGGGTCTGAGTCTAGGTCTGGGTTATAGCTGGAAAATGTGGGGTGAGAAGTGGCATGAGGCCCCAAGTGCCACACGCACCTTGGGGGCCCACCTGCAGGGATGCCAGCCCACCTATAGATATCACATTCTGCCAAGCAGATCTCCTCATCCACTGCATTCCATAGCTGTGGCTTCAGGGCCTTGAAGTCCTCTCGCACAGCAGAGAACAGACTGCAATTGACTGCATTCACCACCTAGGGCAGGTCACAGTCAGGCTGACAAGGGCCCTGGACAGCAAGCTGGACTGGGTGGAGCCCAAGGATGACAAAAAATGGGGGAGGGCAGTAGGATGGCTGTGGGGCTGTGGGTCCCCTCCCTCCACTTGACCCTCACCCAACTGAGGCTGGGCTCCCGGCTGAACTCATGGCTGCGAGCTGTGCTGAAGTCATAGTCAGGCCTGAAGGACTCGTTGAGTGTGGCAATCAGGTAGAAGAGGGTCTTGCGGCTGCACTTGTCACTAAGGGGGCCCTCGTCCTCACCACCTTGGCTCTTGCTCAGTCTGTAGAGACAAGCATCAGCCCAGCCCACCACCCTAGTCCCCCAGGGGTAGGCTCCACCTCGGCTTACCTGTTGGGGCTAAGGCCGGAGGTCTGGGGTGGGGAAAGTGCCTCCAGCACGTGGGGCTGGCCCTCCTGGCAGAACTGCTTGAACATATGTTTGTCGTCTCCTGCCATCTTACATGAGTAGCTCTCAATCCTATGGGATGCAAGAAGGATCATGGAACATTGCCTCCCAGGTTTGATTCATAGGCCAGGGCAGAGTGCCCTCTGAAATGCCAGCTTCCAGAACCTCAGGCCTCACCTGCCAATGATGTGGGCATCTCCAGTCTCCACAGTCAGCTGCGAATTGATAGCCTCAAAGCTCGAGTTCTCCAACAGCTTCATGTCCTTGGGGAAGGGTTCTGTGCTCCAGAGGGGCTAGTGCTGCCTAAGGATGTGGGAGGCCAGGCTATGGGTATCAGGCCCCATGGGGCTCTGCCTTCAGCCCTCCTACTCCCCAAGCAGAGGTGCTGTAAACAAACCGAGTCTGGCTCCACATAGGTCCCCTCCCTCTCCTGGTCTGCTAGCTGATGAGATCCCCTTACCTGAAGGTGGCAAATCTAGGCTCAAGCTGAGCCACGCCCCCTGCAAGCCACTAAGTTCTGGGACCAGGTTGGGAGGCCTCCCCTGGGATCCTCTCACCCTGGGGCTTAGTCTCTTCCTCAACGTTCCCCAACCCCATCCGGAAAGTGCCCCCACCCACCGTGGGGGTCATTTTGAGCCCGCGAGGGACATGATTCCCGCTGCAGCTTCCTCAGGCCAAACTGGGCTCCTCAGCCTAAGTAAGAACTCGCATCCTGGTTGAGAACCAGGACACCTGGGGCTCTGAGACCTGCGGTCACCTGGACGGGCTCTTTCCCTGTTCTGGCTGCTTTCTAGCAAGAGGGAGTGGAACCCCATAGGCTCCTCTGCTCTACTGTGCAAAAGCACCTAGTTTCTCTGGAAGCTATGGAGCGAAGGGAGGCCCCGCGGAGTCCACCAGGCCGTGCCCGCGAGCCGGGATTAGGGGCGCCCACCGAACAGTGGCGGAACTACAAATCCCAAGAGGCAGCGCGCCGCACGAGGCCTGCTGGGGGCTGCGGTTCCGGCCGCCCGGGACAGCGCGGGGCAGCGGGCAAACACCCACCTGCCTGGGCTGGGCTGACCGGGCCACGCCGGGCTGGACCGGGCCGGATCGCTCTGAGTAGATACTGGTGCGCAGGCGGGGCAGACTCCGCGTAGCGCGGGCTCCTCAGGACCGGAGGGCGGCGCCGCGGCCTCCTCTCGGGCCGCACTGCATCCGGGGGAAGAAGCTCCGCGGCGACGTCCCGTTACTCCCGGCCCTGCCGGCCCGTCCGGGCTGCCGCCACAACATAGCCTCGCCCCCCTGCACAGTGCCCGCCCTCGCGACCGACCTGCCGCTGACCGCCACAGAGCGCCCTAGCGAGTCAGCAACCGAGCGAGCGACCGACCTCCGCCTTCCCGGCCGGACAACAACAAGCGTCCGCCAGGCCCGGCCCCACGCTTCTGAATGGCCCGCTCTAGCCTCTAGGATCTGGATCCCGAGTGGCCATTGGACATGGCACCCGCCGCTCAGTCATGCCTTCTACTCCCACTGGCTCAGGAGCCTGTCTGTCACTCTCCTCACCGTGCAAGCCCGCCTCCCCCCGGCGCTCACTGGTCGCAGCCTCGTTGGCCCCGCCCCTTGAGGGGCTGGCCCCGTTCCACGGAGGCGGGGGCTGCCCGGCGCAGCTGCAAGAGGCGCGGCGTGCGGCTACTGCCCAGCGCTGTGGTTAGTTACCTGCTGGGCTGCAGCCTCCGAGGCGAAGAGGCCGCGCCCATCCTCCAGTTGTGGCCGCTGCTTGGGTCCCCGATTCTTTGCCTCCGAGGCCCAGCTCAAACGTGACCGCCTCGGCCACCTCGGGCCGTGCCCATTCCTGGAAAAAGCGGGCGGGTCAGGCTCGGTTGGTGCGCCGCACTCGGCCTCGTCCTAGGCGCCGACGCTCTGGCTGAGCCCGGAACCCCAGGCTCGAAACTCTGGTTTCCAGCCGGCAGAGGCGCTGAGCTGCCGGATCCGACGGAAGCCGGCTCGGAAGGCCGAAACCAGGCTGGACTGGAGATGGCGCCGCCCGCGGGAGGGGCGGCGGCCGACTCGGACCCAGGCTCGGCCGCAGTGTTCCTTGCTGTGCACGCCGCAGTGAGGCCGCTGGGCTCCGGGCCAGACGCGGAGGCGCAGCTGAGGAGGCTGCAGCTGAGCGCAGACCCCGAGCGGCCGGGGCGTTTCCGGCTGGAGTTGCTGGGCGCGGGCCCCGGGGCGGTGAGTTGGGGCGGAGGGGGCATGAGCTCAGTCGGATCGGCCCAGGCGGGGCGCGGAGCCCGAGGCCAGGTCTCTGTTTGCCATCTGGATGCTCTTGAGCAATTACTTTTTTTTGCTTCTGTTTTCTTGTACGTAAAATGGGTGTAATGCCTGTACCTATTTTACGGGATTATTGTGAAGATTTGAAAATAAGCGTAAAGGGCTCAGGACCTTGTACATGGCCTATAAATGTTACCTCATATTCCTTTGCTCATCATTTGTGTGGGGTGGCTCCCCAATCCTCAGGTCAGTTTGGAGTGGCCCTTGGAGTCCGTCTCTTACACCATCCGCGGCCCCATCCAGCATGAGCTGCAGCCTCCACCAGGAGGGCCTGGAACCCTCAGCCTGCACTTCCTCAACTCTCAGGACGCTCAGCGGTGGGCAGCCCTGGTCCGAAGTGCCACCATGGAGGGACAGAATGGTCAGTGCCTTGGAGTGTAGACTCATTTAGAGTAGTCCTGGCCCCTCAGTCCTGGGTGACAAAGCTGGGCCCACCTTCCCACTCTGGGGGTCTGGGAAGGCTCCCATGAGGGAGAAGGTGGAGGAAAGGAGAAGGGGTTGAGAGGCTGGAGCCTGGAATATCAGACAAGTGTGGAGAGGCAGAGTAAGCAAGGCCTGAGGCTCCAGTGAGGAGGCAGATTATCTCCAGAGCAGTGGGAGAATGACAGACTCAGATATTTGCTACTGAAAACAGACTTCTGCAGTCAGGTGAGTTGATGTCCATAAGGCTAGAGAGAAGGCTGTTTCCAGAGAGGCTTAGAAGATGGAATTAGCTGGGTTTCATGGCTATTTAAATGGAAGAGGTATCAGCTGAGCCTGAGAAAAATGGAGGGGACCGTATAGTGCAGGGTTCCCCAACAGAGGGCCTGTGTGGGAGGACATGGAGGTGGCTGGGTTCTCACACATCTGAGCTGGAGCTGGGGCTCTGGAGAGAGGAATATTGGGAGGAGAGGTCAACCAAGGTCACCAGGAGAAAGAAACAAGAAGAGAAGAGGGTCCAGCCAGGGAGGGGAAGGACAGCTCACAAATGAGATGGAGGAAGAGCTGCCAGAGAGGTAGAAAGACAGACAGTGGGATGTAGAAAAGGCCTGGGCAACTCAGTGTTTAAAAAGGTAAAGGGGCTGGGCGTGGTGGCTCACGCCTGTAATCCTAGCACTCTGGGAGGCTGAGGCGGGCAGATTGCTTGAGGTCAGGAGTTCAAAACCAGCCTGAGCAAGAGCGAGACCCTCATCTCTACTATAAATAGAAAGAAATTAATTGGCCAACTAATATTTATAGAAAAAATTAGCCAGGCATGGTGGCGCATGCCTGTAGTCCAGCTACTCAGGAGGCTGAGGCAGAAGGATTGCTTGAGCCCAGAAGTTTGAGGTTGCTGTGAGCTATGCTGACGCCACGGCGCTCACTCTAGCCTGGACAACAAAGTGAGACTCTGTCTCAGAAAAAAAAAAAAATTAAAATGGTAAAGGGCCTCTTTTCATTTGTTCCCTGAATCTGTGTGTTCTGCACCTGCTCTGTATACTAGGCACTTATCATGAACAAAACCTTAAATCCTTCCCTGACCTCTTTGAGCTTGCATTTCTAGAGGGAAGCCAACACATAAAATAAGTACAGTAAATTTGTTAAATATTATATTAAATATTAATTAAATAATATTTAACTTAAATGTAATTTAATTAGTTTAATTTAAATTAGTTAAATACTGTATTAAATATTATAGGAATAAGAAGGGAAGGCTACTATTTAAAATAGGGTGGCAGGGAAGGCCTCATGGAGAAGGGGACCTGTGAATGAAATTTGAAGGTCTTGGCATGATGAACCATGTGGCCAAGGGAGTAGCAAACACAAAACATCTGAGGCAAGTGTGTGCAGGTGCAGGTACAGGGACTTTTGAGCCTCAGTGGGGCCAGGGCCAGGCAGTGAGTGCTGGGTGCTTGAAGGGCCCTGCTTATTTTAGTGGAGACATAGTTCAGAATACCAAGGGCCTGTGGCCATGATAGGAGCTGTGTCAGCATTAGGTGGGGACCTCCCCATTACAGTGGGCTGGGCCTCAAGTAGAAGGTAAGAAGAGAGACAGCAACATGCCCAGTTCTGTAAAGATGCCCAGGGCAGGCAGCCCACGTGTGTTCTCTGTTCAGCTCAGAACAGGAGAGGTCCCTGAGTATACCAAGAAGAGGCCACCTTGACTGCAGGCTCCTGCCTGAGGGCCTGCTTTGGTTCTGCTGTGAATCTGAGGGTGCATGCATCCCTGGCTGCCAGAAAGGGCCAGAAGAGTGGCCTGGCTTCTGTGGAGGGAGACAAGTGGCACCACTTAGCAGAAGGGTTCAGAAGGACTCCAGTCCCAAGGATAAGCCAAGCACAGCTCTAACCCCAACAGGAGTCTGGCAGGGGCCTCTGAGGGGTTTGCAAGAGCCAAAGCTGGGAGGGGAAGGTGTGGCTTGAAGTATTGCCTGAGCAGGGACCTGGCATGGACCCAGATGAAGCAGAAGCAAAGGTCCTGGGGGAAACCTGAGGGCAGAGAGGCCTGGGTGGAGACTACAGACCATCTCACATCTTCCCTCCTAGGCAGTGGCAGCTCAACACCAGCCCTGGGCCTAGAAACATACCCTGCTTCCCTGCCCAGTCCCACTGAAACTACGACACTCAAGGCCCTGCAACCTGAGGCAGATCTTTCCCAGAGCCCTGGGGACTTGATGGAGAAAGGTAAGGGCAGGTAGGTTGGGTGATTAGGGTAGGCTGCCAGTGCCCAGCTATGACAGCTGTCCTTTCCTTTTCCTACAGAAGACCTGGCGGGGCGCCTGGCCCAGGCCATTGCAGGTGGGGACAAGAAGGGGGCAGCCCAAGCTGCAGCCATCATGGCCCAGCATCACAATGCCCTTAGTGTCCAGCTCCAGGAGGCCTGCTTCCCACCTGGTCCCATTAGGTAAGGCCTGGGACTTCTTCCTTACCCTGCCCTCCCAACCCTCCCAGGTTCCCCTTCCATTCCCTTACCCACATTCTGCCCTAGGTTGCAGGTCACACTTGAAGATGCAGCATCTGCTACATCCTCTGCATCCTCTGCTCACGTTGTGCTGCAGGTCTACCCCCGCTGTACCATTGCAGCCCTCCAGGAGCAGGTGAGCACAGGGTCTAGGGAGCCCTGCTGAGGACAGGGGACCCTGGGTGACACTGCCTGCTCTGATGCCCTGGCCCCAGGTGTTTTCTGAGTTCGGTTTCCCACCAGCTGTGCAACGCTGGATCATCGGGCAGTGCCTGTGTGTGCCTGAGCGCAGCCTTGCCTCCTATGGGGTATGGCAGGATGGGGACCCTGCTTACCTCTACTTGCTTTCAGCCCCTCGAGAAGCCCCAGGTCAGTCCTTGATGGGGGTAGGGTGAGGGAGGTGGGATACAGCCTGAGACAGTCCTGAGCTTCACCCTTTGCCACAGGATGCAGCCCTCAGCACCCCCAGAAGGTGGATGGGGAACTAGAACACTTGTTTCCCCCATCAATGGTACTGCTTCAATCCCTCCAGCCAGCCACCTCCAGCCTCCCCAGCCCCCATCAGGTGGGCAAGGGACCAGGTAGGGCAGGGGTGGGCAGGGCTTGGGTGTCCATGGGCATGAGACAACAGGGAAACAGCAACTATCTCCTCACCTCTTTAGCTCGGCTGGCCCTGTCCTTCCTGTACCTTCATCAACACCCCAAGCCGCCCTGGCTGTGAGATGTGTAGCACCCAAAGGCCCTGCACTTGGGACTCCCTTCCAGCAGCTTCTACCTAGCAGCCAGCAAAGGTACTGGGGGTGGGGAGTAGGGGGTGAGTGGATGGACAGGGCAGAATACCCAGGAATGACTCTATCTCCTCCTTGCAGATTACAGGTCAAGCAGGGCTCTTCCTTCATAGGCCCGAGGTCTCAGCCCACTCCCAAGCTGGTCAGGGGACCTCTGCTGACTGCTCATCAGGGACAGATCCATCAGGTTTGGGGGGAATGGCCACAAGCTGGAGTCATTAAATACATTTATGAACCAGTGAGTGTCCCCTTCACAGTGTCTCTGGCAGAGATGGATGGGGCTGAAGAGTGGATTTGGACTCCAAGTCCCAGTGGTCATGGGAACATGGCACAGGGTCTCTTCTTCGCAGGCCCCAGAGGCCTGTAAGGATCTAACTGGCTGCTGACTGTTGGCCTGAGGCTGCTGGGTTGTTCCACATTCCAAGCCCAGGCCACTGTGAGCCCTGCCCTCCAGCACTGATCTGG